CTGGAAAACATTTTTATAAGAAACATTTAGATAAGTTATTTGAAATTATTAACAAGTATTTACTTCATCAACATCCAAGAGTTAGAAATATGGCACTTTCATTATTAAATGATATAATTTGTTTATTCAAAAAGAAATGTAAGTCATACGTTTCACAGATTTTCCAAGCCATTAAACAATCATTTGGTGATGCATTTGTTCCAAACCAAATTACTGGATGTGATATTATTTCTTCATTTATTGATGTTGAATTAGTTAGTCCATCTGAATTCCAAGAAGTTCTTATGTCAATGTTACAGTCATTAACTAACTTTATTACAACTGCTCAAAGTACAAAGTTAATTGTTGCCGCATTTGCTTCATTAAATTTCATTATTCATTTTATGAAAAATATGCTTGACCAATACTTTGCCATTTTATTGAACTTCTTTAAGTCTAAAGCACAACAATTAAGTCAAGTCCTTTTAACTGCTACAGATCAAAAACAAAGAAAGGAAATATTAAAAATTAAATCTCGTCTTATTGAAGGACTTTCTATGTTAGTTTATTCATGCTCTAAGAATATTACAAAAGAAATTGCACATGAAATTTTCCTTGAAGTATATAATGTATTCTCTTTAAAGGAAGAAGAAAGAGAGGTTTTAATGCCATTTGCTGAAAAAGCGTTTACTCGACTTGCTGGAGTAATGAAGGCTGACATTCAACCATATTTAAATACCATTGTCCCAATTATTATTTCTAGAGCTTCAATGAATCCAGAGATAACAGTTGGAAATAAAGAAGAGCAACTTGATGAAGATGATTGGGCTAATACAGTATTCCAAGGAATGAATATTGGAATTAAAACTAGTCAAATTGAAGAAAAAGCTGATGCAATTTCTACCCTTGATTTATTTGTCGATGATCTTCAAGAATTAATGGTTCCATATGTTGAATCTATGAGTCCATTAATTAAATCTATGAAATTTATTATGGATGATACTGTTCGATCTAAGGCTACTACATTGGTTGGAACATTATTTAAGTTAAGATTAAAAGTATTAGTTGCACAAAATGGACAACAAGCTATTGCAGCAATGAAATCATCACAGTTTTATGTTGATGCATTTACAGCATTTGTAAAGTATATTCCATCAGAAACAGAACCAAGTGTTGCTTTACATAAAATAGAAACATTTAATACAATGATTAAATCTCTTGGACCAAATGCATTAAGTGTAGATGAATTGAATATGATATTTACTATGTTTGCTGATGTATTTGAAAGTTATGAAAATTCAACAAAGATGAAAACACAACAACAAGAATCTATTCAAGGATTAACAGAAGAAGAACTGGAAATTCTTGATCATTCAAATGAAACAGATTCTGATACTATTATGGCTTGTCAACATTTATTCCAAACAGTTATTAAGTTAAATGAACAATATGTTAATTCATACAATACTATCCTTCATCAATGGATTATGAAATATTACAATTCTGGAAATTCAGATTATGTCTCTACTTCAATTGTTTATATATGTGATTTAGTAACTGTAGGAAAAAGATCAGATCTTATTAACGATGTTATTTCTCAATTTATCAATTATATCTCATCTGACAATTCAGACGTTCAATTCAATGTATTATTATCATTAACTGAAATAATGAAATATTATCCAGACAATCTTATTCAAAACTTCTTCTCTCCTTTAGCTCAAAAATTAAAGTTATGTGAACAATTAAGAGGACAAGAAAAGAATGATATTTATGAAGTGTCTTTACTTTGTAAAGGATCGTTATTAATTTGCCATCCAGAATTATGTAAGTCAGTTGGAATTAATGTTACTGATATGATGAATGAATGGTTTGGATCAGTTATGAATATAAAAAGTGTCAAAGATATGGCATTGTGTCTTGTTATTTTTGCTTCAAAAAAAGGTTCCTTAATTGTTGATACTCCGGAAAAACTTGCTCATTACATTAACTTCATTGGAAACGCATTAGTAGAAGAATCTATTGACAACGAATCTTCTAATATGTTAAAAGAAGTTCTCATGCAATTTAAACAGAAGTTCTCTGATCAAGTTTTTACACAAATATGGCAAGGTATGAGTATTGAAGCAAGAGAAGAAATTTATCGTCTATTGGAGAATTCAGATCAAAATGCATAATGAAATGAAAATGAATGAGTTATATCCAAAAATAATTAAATGAAAATTATGAGTTTTTAAAATTTTTTTTCTATTAGAAAATGAGTTATTATTTATTTTTTGCGTAAAAAGAAATGTTAACAAAAAAGATTTAAGTAAATCAAAAAAGGTATTTTGAGATGAAACTGAATTTGATAAAAAAAGAGATTAATGAAACAGCTCTCAATAAAAACAGAAAATCCTCTTCAAACATTACACAGATCAATAACATCAGAAGAACTTAAAAAGAGAAGAAGAGCAGAACGATTTGATTGTCCATCATGTATAGAAATGCAAGGATATATTAGTGTATTAGAAGAAATTATTCAAAAGAAAAACACTCTTATTTCAAAATTAATTAACGAAAAAGAAGTTTATAAAATCTTTGATGAATTACGTCAAGCAAATGATCCAAGCATTTATGCAGAAGATACTATTGAGGCATTACTTAGTTTTATTGATAATAGAAGTATTGAAACAAAAAATAAGGTAATGAAAAAATGGGAAGTAATGCTTCAATCAAGAATTTCTAATGAAAATAAAAAGGTTCTAAAAAGTTTTGTAAGAAATAAAGTTAAAACTAAATATCAATATATTGATATTGGTGATGAAACTACTACAGAATCAGATGCTCAGGATGATTCTACAATATTAGGACCATTAGATGGAATGGATTATAATCGTTGTGATCAACCAAAACCAAAAATTAATGAACAATTATTTGGATGTTTGGTAGATGATTTTACATCGTCACAAATACTTTATTATCAACAATTCCAAATACTTACACAACTTTTTATCTCTCCTTTAAGGAATTTACTAATGGCAAAAGAATCAATTAAATTATTAGACAAATTAATTCCTCCAATAATGATGGTTGAAAGAAAAGTTTCTCGTTGTTTACAACTAAAAGATGAAACAATGTGGCAAACAATCAAAGAATGTATTAGTGAAATGAAAGTTTATATTCCTTATATTTCAACATTAAAAACAACAAATATAAAAGCAGATATTGTTGAATGTTGTATGTCAAAAGAATTTAAAAAAGAACAACAACCTTTAATAGCTAATTTCTGTAATAAAAATGGATCACAACAATTATTACCTGTTACTGTTTATTTGGAGGCTCCTCTTCAAAGATTTTTTAAATATCCAAAAATTTTTGGTAATTTATTATCTTCAGTTGATCCAAAACATCATGACTATGCTGTTATAACTTCTTGTTATTTGAATATCAATAAAATGGTTAAAAAATTGGGAGATTATCAAACAAACCAAGAAGAACAAAAGAAAGTTATTAAACTTAGTCATTTATTTAAACAAACACAAACCCAAATTTTAAAAGATGGAAGAAAATTATTATATTATGGCCCTCTTAAAATTATAGAAGAAAAAAATGAATGGAATATGTGCTTTTTGTTTAATGATATATTTGTTATTTCTAAGGCAATTGTTATTGGTGCTCTTGGATTAGAAAAGGAATCGTTAATGAGATTTGAAAATGCCCCAAGTGGGACGGATTTATCTTCATTGACACCTTATAATTTTAATGAAATACTTTGTATTTCCTTAACACATTTCTTATTAAAAAAAGTAGTTGATTGCAATACAGCTACGAACGCTTTTATGATTCAAGTTGATAGTCTTCAATTACACTGTTGTTGTGTGTCAGTGAAAGAACGTCATAACTGGATTGATTCATTGTTATTAACACAAAATGGAAGCTACTAATATTCGTTGTTAACATAATTTAACTAATTTAGATTATACCATTCAATAAAAATTCATTTATTTAACATTTTACAATTCAATAGGATCATCTTTGCTTTCTCCTTTTCCTTTAAACAATGACTGTATTTGAGGCATATGGTTCAGTTGTAGTTTTTTTGTTGGAGCTATACCTTTTGTTATCTTTTCAATATTACTTAATTCAGAAACTCCTATAATTTGATTCAATGTATTTGGAGTAAATGTTCTTTTCAGTTGAGTTGTTTTAGGTTTTGTTGTTTGTTCTTTAGAAAGATGAGGAATTGTTGTTGTAGTTTGAAAAGGAAAAACAAATAATGGTTTTGATATTTTTGGTAAAGATAGAGTAACCTGTTTCTTTAAATATTTTTGTTCTTCCAAATCAGTCTGTTTTTCTAAATCTTCATTAGTTGTTGTATCATGAATTTGAGTTATCATACCATCTGAACTAAGAGATATCATTGAAACATCATCTGAAGATTGTTTAAGTAAGGAAAGTACTTTATTATCTATTACTACTTCTTTAATAGGAACTGGTTTATAACAAATGGGACAATTAAAACACTGTTTAGTGGTAGAATTTCTAATATAATTCTCTAAATCAAAACAAGCCAAATGTGAACAATTTAATCCTCTTGCAGGAATTACTATTCTCTGATAACTTATAGGACATTTTAATGAAATTGTTTGTTGCTCTTCTTCAACATCCATTTCTTCGTCCATTGCTTCTAAATCAAAAGATTGTAATTCCGTACTTCTACCACATTTTGAAACAATTGATTGAACACACTCACTTATTCCAAGATTTTCAATATCAACTAATGAAATAATTCCATTTTCAATAATATTCTTAGACACAACTGAAATAATATTTTTTCCTTCTTTTAGTAAATCAGTAACATCAATACAATTAAATATTTTGAAATTATTTACTTTTTCAATTAATTTTGGTCTAGCAAAATACTTTGATAATTCAAAACTATTTTTATTTATTGTTATCTTTGCAAGTGAATAAGGAGGTAAATTTTCTTTTGTTGTTAAATCAAATAACCTTAACTGAATTCTCCGTTTCCCACCTGGTTCTTCTAATAACTTAAATTTAAATGACGAAGGATCTCGTTTATGAAAAACTCCTTCTCCATTTTTGAATTCAAATGACAGGCTTGATACAGAAACATCTGCTGCTCTATTAAATCTATTATATGCGATGACACGTTTTTGTATAATAAGTGGTGAAACAGTTTCGAAATATTCTTTTGGTAGTGTCAATTCCATACTTAATTTAATTGTTTTTCTTAAAATATTCAATAAAAAAAGGGTTAGGTTTTTTATGTTTTTTAAATAACATAAAAATAAAAGTAAAAAAGTTTAATCATAATTTCTATATGTTGTATCTTCTTCTTTTAAATTTGTATGTTTCGAACGACCTTTCTTTCCCCAGTCTTTTGTTTGGAGAATCTTTGGTAGTAAGCTTTTATCCATCCAATCATCTCCAGTCGCTGCGTCAAAGTCCCAATTTCCTTTAGAAACATCCCACTTACCACCATCTCTAAAGAATGATCCAATGTGGTAATACTTTTGCATAAATTTCCATTTCTTTCTTTCTTTTTTCTTTTCTTCTTCGTTACTTTGTGATTCTGTTGAACAAATTTCTTTTAATTTTTCCAAATCATTTTGATAATTTAATTGTTGAATATATTCTTTTTTAAGTCTTTCTAATTCGCGTTGTTGCCAAGCCTCAAATTCATCTTTTCCTCCATACTCATCTCCACTACTAAATTCTTCAGTACTTTCTTCGTTTTCTTTTTGTTCTAATTCTTTTTCAATAGTCATTTGAATTAGCTTTTTATTAATTTCATTAATACTGATGTCTTGAGCTTGTTGTTTGTATGATGGAAAAACATTTTCTCTTATATCTTTTTCTTCAACTTGTTCTTTTTTAATTATATCTTTTCTCATCGGGATAAATACAGGTTCCTCATTCTCGTCCTCTTCATTACTTTCGTCTTCTTCTGTGTATTCTTCTTGAATATGAAACATATCATCCTCATCATTACTTTTTATTTTTTCAATCCGGTGAGTTATAACCAATCCTTTTTTCATTTTCTTTCTTTTTAGTTTCTTCTCCACAAAAAATTAATTTAAAAATTTCATTCATTACTTAATAATATCGTCATTCTTTTCTTTCTGTTTTTTCTTCTTCCATTTTGACTTCTTGAATAATACTCTCTTCTACTTTATTTTGGGTTGATGTATTTGGAACAACTTCTTCTTCTTTCTTTAAGAAGTTTTTTGTGTCACTATTTTCTTTTATTTCTTCTATTTTACTTTGGCCCAATTCAACACTTTTGTTATCATATTCTTTTATTTCATTTTGAGCTGATATGTTTAGGACTTCTTTTATTTCATCATTTTGTATTTCATTTTCTGGTTTGATATCGTAGGTAATATTATTTTGATTATCACCACCTTTAGTTTCTTCTTGTGCAATAACATCTTTTTGGTTATCGGTCTCCATTATTTCATTTTGTGTTAATGAATTTAGTGACTTTTCCTTTGTGGTCTCAGTTTGGTCTTCAATTTTTTTTCTTTCCTCTTCCATTTTAGTTTCTTGAATACTACTTTCTTTTATTTTATTTTGGCCTTGCAGGTTTATTTCTTCTTCCATTTTAATTTCTTTCAAATCATTAGTTTGATTATTATCTTCTTTTGTTTCTTCTTTTGTTTTTTCTCCTTGAATAATTTCATTTTGATGAATACCTTCGTTTATTTCATTTTGATGAATACCTTCGTTTATTTCATTTTGATGAATACCTGCTTTTATTTCATTTTGAGGTGATGTATTTGATAGTTCTTTTATTGTAATTTTATTTTGATTATTATTTTCTTTTATTTCTGTTGTTATGGTTTGAGGTTGTTCATTAGGAATTTCTTCCATTTGAGTGCCTTTTTCTTCATCATCTTCTTTTTCTTCTTCCATATATCCAAACATTCTATTTGCGTATTTCTTTTCACTATAAAACCCAACTAATAAAGAGCGATTGTCATATCTTTTTTTTACTATTTCTTTCCAACACCTTATTGCTCCATCAATAGTTTTGAATTCAATAAAGACCCTTCCAAGACCACTTGGTTTTTTATTTTCTTCAGTTGGTCTTGGAATACTAATACTCTCAACTTCTCCGTACTCCTGACATACAAATCTAATGTCGTCAATTAATTCAATATATCGTTGTTGATCAATAAGGTCTTCTGGATATACCATATTAAATATGACAATAATTCTACTGACGTGTTGGTCTTCTATCTTTTCTGATGGTTTTAATATTTTCTCAAACACAGTAGAATATCCTACAGATGAATTTAATAATGTCCCAATTACTAAATCAGTAGTGTGAGGAAACATCTTAGAAAATAATTCATTTAAAGAGGCTTTTGGTAAATGTTTAAATCCATCTACCCCACTACATACTTCAATTTTATTTCCTCCTAAATTGATTCCATCAAATGTTAAAATTTTCTCTTTATATTCAGGGTTTTGGTATTCAAATAAACAATAGCATTTCCCTTGTGGAGCTCCAAGATCAGGATCTCTTATAACAAAGAATTTTTTTAATGGATTTAAATTCTCTAATTTCTTGCGTATTTGTTCATCAGTCATTTGTAATGGAATATTACCCATATACAAAATAGATTCTCTTGGGTTTGTTGTTCCTGGTTCCATTAATTGAGAAAGACCACTAATAAATGGTAAAACAGGATTATAATCTTTTGGTCTACGTACTTTAACTGATGCTCCTTTAATTGTTAAACCATCGAGAGACAGTGCTTTGACTGCTTCTTCTAATGTTCTAAATTCAAGAAATGCATACGACCTTTCATAATTTACTTCAATATGAGTAATAATATCACGAGGGTCATTTTTATCCACATAATCTCCTCTTCTCATTGCTTCATTAAATGCATCAACAATATCTTTTTCTGATGTAGAGGAGTTAATATTACCAACATAAATTCTTTTAGCTGCTCGTTCTTGGTGTACATTTAATTGTTGAGATATTTGAACAGAGTCAATAGCTTTTGGTTGTTCATCCCATCTTGAATGAAGCTTATCTCCAAGTGGTGATAATGATGGAGATCTATCTGCTCTTCTTCTAATGTTTCGGTTATAATGTTCTTCTTCAGCTACTCTTCTGTGTCTGTCTTCTCTGTCTTCACTACGACTATACTCTCTTCTTGTTTTTCTTCTATTTGACCTATATCCTATCCTATCTCTTGGACTATATTCTCTTCTATCATACCGATCA